ACCAGTATGCCTTTCACCAACTATTTAAGGTAGCTTCATAGGACTGATCCTTACCTACTTAGTTCAAACTAATGAAGCCAATCTACTACATAACTGTAACAATGCATCATATTAACGAGCTAAACAGTCATTACCTGACGCATTGGGAAGAGTTTGCAGATCTGTTTTATAACCACGGACTGCTTATGAATACGTTCAGAGGTTGCCATCTGCATAAAATAATATCACAATTTCAGAAAAAAGAAAAAAGATAAAACAAAAGAAAAACTAAAAATAAATTAAGAAATGAGGATATAATGAAATAACAACTGGAATATAATATATTTATGTTCAGTATTTTTTTTTTCCCATAGTCATATAACACTTAAATGTTTATATATTGAGCATACACCTTTGAACCATGCATTATCACATTGCATCCTAACTTGAGAATCCAGCAGTCAAAAGAGGGACACAAAATGAGCAGGAAATATTGAAGGGGTGAATGTCTCAGTAGCCTTCTTTGATTTTATTGCAGGGATCCTCATGAATATCTATCTTACACTGCAAAGGTTTACCTAATTCGAGCTTTCATCAGATTTATCTTTTTATCAAAAATAAGATTCAGTAGAAGATTTTTATAATGGCATTTTTATGTCTATGATAACTTACATTCTTAGCTAAATTTAGCCAGGCAATGTCTTCTATTGCTAACAATTCCATGCTAAGCCGCAGCCAAACCCCACTAGATCCTAAGCAAACTAATACCAGGTGATTTAAATTAAAATATCAAAGTTAAAAATACTAATTAATTAAAAAGATATATCATCAGTTCATAAGGTCTGTCATTTCAAACTTACCCAATCTACAATCAATGCCTTTCATCATTAATTACAAGCAAACACACCAGCAGGCAAGAACATACATTAAACAAAACTCAAGAGCTAATGAACCGGAAGAAGGGGGGACTTCATGTTTAAGAGATTAAAAATTTATTGAAAAATAGAAATAAAGACAAAATGGAGAAATAAAAAAGATAATGACACAAATGAAGAATAACGATGAGACATGTGGCTTAATCTCAAAGACATGCAAGACTAGGATCACAAGAACAATGATTTTTCACTTATGTCCAAGACCATAACATCCAAGAACATGAGGTAATCATAGAGATCGCCTCTTATTTAAGAATATTGACGGCACCAATGTTGTATAAAATAGCATTACAGCCCATTGAAAAATAATATGAATTATAAAAAACCAGTGTTGATAAACTGGACTGACTGAAACTAGAACAGAACATATAAAAAATTATTCACAAAATTTCCTAAACATTTTATGAAAAAGAACAAAAATATTAAGAAAAGGTACTTACATGGGCTAAGCGCTGGCTGTATATAAGATCACTATTAAATTTATCCAACAACTCCATTCGGTTCCTTTTTATCTAAAAGATCGGAGTCCAACAGTCACAAGTGATCGATGCAAGATTAAAGCATATTAGAATGACAAAAGGTAGTACAAGTGGGTACAAATAATATCAAAGTAAAATGTATTACTGTTGCAAAAGCTGAATCCAGTGACTCATGTCTCAACTTCAAATCATTTGAGGCTTCTGCAAGCTTAGCCTTCTCTGTAAGAGAATAACACCGACAAGATTAAAAACCAAAGAGCACAAACCTGCTTGTCACAAGACTCGGTGCTTACACACGTATTACCTACATAGGGACAAACCTTCTGCAAGTTGCATCTTTAAGTAGTTTCCATGATCCTTCAGCTTCTTGAGTTTCTCGGTTTCTGTCACTCTCCAATTAATTTGTTCATCTGCTTTCCTCTGTAGAATTAAAAAAATATATATCAAAACAGGAACAACACACAAAACAGAAGAAATGTTTTTAAGAGAAAAAAAACAGTAGAAGAATAAACATAACAATGAATACAGTATAGCAAGCATGTAAATCAGAAATCCCAAGCCTACATCAACAGCGGTGCACCATCTCAAGTCCTTCATGTAATGCTCGATTCTCGGCCAGGAGGATATATCATGGCAACATAATAATTCACAACAATTTGGCATTGAAAGAATATATGCACAGCAGTAGATCAAGATTATAGTTATGATCTGGAGAACCTTTCTAACCAGGCCATTTTTCTCACACAATGGGTCTCTACTGATAGACATCAACAAGCACTCTTGGTGGTAGCCTCATCATGAACACCAGATCCAGGTACAATCAATGATTTGAGTCAGTAACACAAACATGATACCAAATACATGGACAACAAACAACAGTCATACCATGAAGGTCTAAATCACATCTTCATTAGATTAGCTGTTAATGATCAAATGAAAAACGGTAATATAATGAGCCTTAATCTATACATTTATAAAAGTTGGCATTGGTTTACAGGAGCATTTGAATTGTGATAAATGAGACTTGTGGAATTTTCTTTTTAAAATGAGACAAGTTGGATGACTCTCGATCTGGATGTCTATTTTTAAAATGCCATCATCAGAATGTATTATATATATCCTTGCAGCCCTAGGCATGACCTTTTTCTTCTCTGTGTGTGTGTGTGTGTGTGCACAAATGTGCCTTCTCTCCCTCTCCTCTCTCCTCTCCACTCCTTGATGGCAATCATATGCAGTCTTCCCTTCTCTCTCCACTCAATCTCTTGAACCCAACACAACTCCACCACAAGCCTCAACTCCTCCGTCTCTCTCCCTCCTCTACCTCACCTTACCCCAAAAGCCATGGCCACCATCTTAGTAGCAACCTTAGTGATGACCACTTCAGCTATGACAACACCATCATAAAATAGCCTATTCTAACAAAACAGTAGAATTAGCTACTCCCTTCATTCATACAGGTATTTTTCTATTTCTCTTCATCCATCATAAATATATCTGAACATAAAAATCATATATTATTCCTTTCATCATATTCTTAGAATAATTATCTTTATTCTTTTAATACTTGAACCAAACAAGTTCAATTAAAAGCAAGCAAAGAAGTAGCAGCTAATTTAACGTGAGTAAACAAAAGAATAAATAAGAAATCTATAGAAGTTCTTTTGCTCCTAGTTTCTCATATTGAGAAGAACAATGATTTTCTTCACATGGGCTCATCTGGAAAAGGAACTTTTTATGTGAGATGCCTGGCACCATCGTTTTCTAAAAATTATTCTCTCATTATGCTCTGCCTATGATCAAATCAAAAGAGTAGATAACAATCACGTGATCCGTGGTTGTCATTGAAACAAGATAAGAACACCTAAGACAGCACTATTGGAAAAAACATTAAAAGACATGAAAAATAGCTCTACTAATTTTAACAAAATCCAGGACATTGTAAAATTAAAAACCCTAGTCAACAGGCACGCAACCTAACCTTCGCCTCCAGTTCACCGCTCAGCCTCGAATAGAGGGATTCACGGACGTTCTTCCGCGATATCAACACGGTGCTATAATAATTTATTCTGAAAAGTTTAGAGGAAACCCAAGTCAATAACGTCAAAAATATCCGATCATGCAGATTACAGATGATCAAACAAGAGAAATTACCTATAATTAACGCAGGGCGCGCAGACGGAAGCGAGATTGGAACCCTCGCAGACGGCGCAGCAGCTGTTGCTGCCGCTGGGCTTCCTCGCCATGGATTCCACCTCTCCCACTCGCGTTCAAAAGATCGGATGCCAACCGCCGGAAGACACCTTCGATTCAGGCTTCTTCGAACGAAGCGAACTGGATTGATGGATGATTAAGGGTTAGGGTTTCGACAGGGTCTGGGATTGGGTTGGAGAAGGGATGTCCAGATGGGACGGGAGACGGTTTCGTCGGGTTAAGGAGATCGAATCTTGTTTTAAACCGGTAGCACCTGCCAAACGAAGTGGCTCTTGTGGGCCGGGCCCCAATGTCAGCGACGAAGGGCCTAATTAAGGATGACTGATTACTAATGGACTGGCAAATCGCGGCCCGAAAACCGATTCGATTAGCATGGTCCGAACCGGATCTCAATCGGTCTAGCCGGTTCGCTTGAACTGCACCATCCCAAACTCTTGTAGTCGGTTGATCTTTATGGCAGGCGTTCTTGCGAATCAAGAACATAAAGATAGCGTGATATGTTTACTTGCCTTCATCTATTTCGTGATCGTTCTTTGCACCGCACCCAGAAAAAGGTCTCTTTTTTGCTGCAAATACACAGAGGTGGGTCCGTCGTTGCGTGTGCGGGCCCAGATCACTGTATATTTGCAATATTACGTGCAAATACTACACGCATGCTTATCCTAATGATACTGGCTGGCATTATTTATGTGACGTACCGATCCAGGAGAAGATGGGAGAAGCAGCATCCATGGGTTTCTAACACAATAAGCTTCCACCTTCCAAGAGCTACCTAATCTTATCTTAAGACCATGGACCTCATCGAGCGCGTGCGACTCAGCTGCTGCTTCTACAAATTGGTTACGAACCAACTCCAAGTCAAATAAAAAAGGAGGAGTACTATTTGCCACCGTCATCCTCTTCGGTGCGTGAAGGTCTTTGTCAGTGGGAGACACGTGATATGCCAGTAGATATGGGTCGGTGTTCATACGACGTCATATGGGACGTCGTATGTGTTGGTATGACGGTGGACGACGTCATTGCTTCCGCTCTAAATTGGGAGCCCTTTCCCTCAATCAAATATATATGCATTTTGGCCATTCAAAATGGGGTCGTGGTGTAGTTTTCTTCTTGAATTAGGAGATTCGGATAGCCCCGAGTTTGTATTATTTTTACAGGCAAGAAACAATTTAATTTCAATTGTTGGGACTCTGCACGAATCTAACAAAATGATCATAGATCCATTGCGGCAAATGTTCCCCTTCTGGTTTTGGCACCCGGCGAAACCAGAAGTTTCCACGAAAACCGCACTCCGAAACCGTCCACGTACGTCTCACTTCACAGAAGAAACCGCGAAAGCCCACAATAATTCACGCCGTGGGTCGGTCGGGTCAGAGTAGAATAGACAACAGCACCAAACGCGCGAGCCTTATCCGCACCCACGCCGACATCCACGCAGCAAAGACGGGAGGATGATGCTGCGCTCACCAGATGCTATAAATGTCGAGCCCCATCGGTCACCGGTGAACCACGACACACAAGGCTAGACTTGCAAGGTGGAAGTTTTGGGCAATGGCGGACATCGCGCTGCTGGTGGCGGAGGACTTCGAGAAGAGCAGCAAGGCGCGCTGGGAGAAGGCAGACCATGGGGTGAGGCGAGAGGAGTGCTTCCACTTCCTGGCTTCTTTCACTGTTTCGGCTCTGGGGAGGAAGGCCAGGGAGGAGGTCTCTGCCTTGAAGGAGGTGGGGAGGGCTCTGGAACCAAGGAGCTCCTTTGGCTTGGCTGCCTTTGATGGCGCCTTCTCTGCTTGACTTGGTGGCTTCCTTCCCCAGATTGTTGTGGTTCCTGCTACGGATGCTCTTTCTTTTGACTAGAATCATGTACATATATATGTACCTGTCCTTGGTTGTTGATCTTGGTATTGTTGGAAGATCAAATCTTGGAGGGGAAATGTAACGATCCTACTCTGTTGTCTTCTGGTGAATCCGATCTCTGCCAGGACAACCAAGCTGAGGATCACTACGAACTTCCGTTCAACGTTACGACATCCAAATCGAGGATCAAAGGACCACAATTTAGTCTCTAGTAATCGTATTCTTTTCGCACAAGCTTGCTGATCCTTTTGGTCATAGGGAAAAGAAGACGAGATTGGTCATCCACAAAAAGCCACAATCAGATTGGCAGAAATATACCGATTTGGTGGTTCATAAGCTGCCATTGCAGACGCGTGAGCAGGAAACTGAAGTCCTATCACAAAGATCCCTTGACTACCTGCTGGCGGGATGCTGCTGTATGGTAGCTTATCAAAGTGAAAGCAGAGGATGAAATGATCAACCGGGATTTAGTCAGCTTCGGGCCTCACCTTATCATGCTGACAACCAAACGAATACCTGAGCCAAGCATCAAGTCCTCTTCGAGATCACATGTTGTTTCACGGATTGGTTCATCGGAAAACACAGGTAGTTCCTTGCAGCAGCATTAAGCTGAAATGATACTGTTTTTGCCTTGTGCTGCAAGCTTAAATGGCCACCTCTTCTTCGGGGAATGGTGGGTAATAGATTCACGGCACGGATTCAGTTTTCTCGAAGAATTCTTCAACAGGAATTGTATGACACTTGGGCTGACCACAAATATCCAATTCAGTGATCAAAATCTGGCTTTTTGTTGCACACTCTCCCAATGTATCCACACTAGCTTTTGTCCCCAAATCCATTGCATCTAACACTGAAATAGCTGTTGTGGCATCTTGAACTTTTAATCTCTTGCATTATCTTCCAATTCTCCTGTTGGATCCTGCCTGCACTCGATTGCCATCAACATGAAAGTATGAATCAGTGCTTGCAGATGCAATCTCATGAAAGAACCGATCTGTCGGCGGGAGAACAACTCGCCCGAGCAATCAGCTATCGAAGGCGATGGAGAACTCAGTAGAGGGGCAGATGGAAAACCCTAATTCCAGAACAGAATACGGGCATTAGACCAGCACGAAACAGAACCCAGCAGGAAAGAGATCTCGGGAGAAGATTCCGAACCGAAAAGAACACCCAAGATAAAAATAGGGCCAAAAGAAGAAGGAAGGAGGAGGAAAGGACAGATTGATCGCGAAGAGATCGCCCGCCTCGGCAGAGGGACTCCGAGTAGCAGAGAGATGAGGAGACTCGGGAGGGGGGAAGAAAGGAAGGTGCGGTGGTTTAACGGATCCCAAAACATGATTCATATATGACACTCAGATCGGATTCGGGTTTTATGTGTTATCGGATCCAAATATGGCGCCCGTAGTTCGAGTCGTAGTTATTCCTTTTAAGTTTCCCGTAGTTCCTAATCCCAAAAATGCCACCTTTGACGCCCCAAATGCTACTCCGCCGCCGCCTCTTCTCCGCCGCCCGCCACTTCTCCTCTTCCGCGCCCTCCGGCGGAGTTGCCGCCGAGTCGCGGACCCAGAAGCTCGAGCGAATCGCCGATGAGCTTCTTTCTCTGACTAAGGAGGAGCGCAATGACTACTCCATCCTCTTCCGCCTCAAGCTCGGCCTCAATCAATTGGTTCAGGCCGGGGGCGGCTTGCCCTCGGCGGGGACGGGTCCAGGTGTCGAGGCCGCCACCGAGGAGAAGGAGAAGACTGCGTTCGACATCAAGCTCGAGAAGTTTGACGCCGCGGCCAAGATCAAGATCATCAAGGAGGTGAGGACGTTCACCGACCTGGGGCTGAAGGAGGCCAAGGAGTTGGTGGAGAAGGCCCCCGTGGTGCTCAAGAAGGGGGTGACCAAGGAGGAGGCGGAAGCGATCGCCGCCAAACTCAAGGAAGTCGGCGCCACTGTTGCGTTGGAGTGAAAGACGAAGGTAAAATTCTCACCTTTGAGTCTTTTGTATTTGGTTGTTGTCTTTCTTCAGCTAGGAAATTGGTAGAACACATTGAGTGCGATTCAGTCTCTATCAAGAAATAAACAATGCTTAAGAGGATTCTTTTGTGAAGTAATGATGCAAGTTATTAGTTAACTGTTAGTTAAAGCTGTCTACTGTTGATGCTCAAAACTTGTCTGTTTATATTGCAAGATGTCCAATTTCGACTGCTTCATATGTTGTACGTACATTAGATCACATCATCATGTTATCATTCTTGGGCTTGGTATTATCACTTGCAAATCTCTAACATCCATTGCCACCATGTTTTGATGCTCAGAAGTGGTATGATGTTATCTCTTTATTATTTCTGAGGCAAACAAATGTGTATTCTTTCTTGAAATTCCTGCTTCACAATCTCTCGTCTCTCTACCCTAATTCTACTTCTGTAATTGCAACCTGAGCTTGTGTATATTAATTTCCGTATCAGCTGCTAGATCCTATCTCATGGTTCTACCTTTAACAGTTTGTCTTTATATTACAAATTTCTGGGGCCCTGTTGTTGACAAATCAAAATAAATGCAGTTTACTAGATTAATTTGCTTTCAGATATTGCTCGTTGCGATGAGTGTTTATCATGCGATTTATACTTGTAATAGAGTAGGACTTTGCCTTTCTCATTAAAAGATCAACTTTATAGTATTTTGAAGGCCCCAGTTGTACGTTGATTTAGAAGACATGAGAACATGCCAGGAAATAAGTTAGTTTTTGGACATTATCTTGCAGGTTAGGGTATCCAAGAGCCTACAGGTTTTCGATTATGAGGAACTAAATGAAACTTGGACTGTGCCTCAACTGATAAAAAATAACCATGGAGAGAATATTATCACTTGCAGGTCTTAATTTGGAGCTCACTCTGAGGATATTGTTCATACAATTGCAGGAGGTTCAGAAGTGAAATTGATGGCAAGATAATGTAGTAGGAATGTTGTTAACTACTATTTGTTCATTGATTTTGGTAACATGATGAAGGCATCATAAACCAGGTTGATGAAATGTAAAACTGCTTACGGATTTTGTTTATGTATAAGATGATAATAATATGCTGCCAAAATTATGAGTAAAAACGGTACTTGTTATAAATCCCGTGTCATTTATTTTGCTGTAAATAGAACCTCTATGTGTTATAGCTGACTGTAGTACTAATTTGTAGGTTTAGATGTATGGAATCCACTATCTCATAGCGTGAGTCTGGCAAGAGATTCATATTTTGCTTTATGAATATAAGTAGATGAGTGCCTTAATAGTAACGAGTTTGTATTCAGAAAACACAACAAGCAATTCCTGTCTGTTAGCCACACTTAGATGTCCAAGTCCATTGTTCATTATATCCACATTTACAAGTTCCATATACAGTGATGAATGTCCTTAAGAGGTGGTTGGTTTTGTGTGTGTGTGTGTGTGGAAAGGAGCATCACTTAGTAGGGAGTTTCCTGTGCGGTACCTACAACTGCTAGTAATCTGAATGATCACAAAGATAGGGGATGAGCTATGATGAGCACTAACGCATCAATTTAAACTCATCTTTATGGTGTCAAAGGTCTACCTCCACTACACAAAAGATTGATGATGATTCCACTTAACCTCAAATAAATGATTTCTGTCTTAAGTGACTATACTTTCAACTTGCAGTGCATAGAGACAGTTATGATAATTTATTGAGACTGTTTTTCTTATGCAGTTATCTTATTCTCAGCTTTTTCATATTGGAGAGGAAAAGCTGAAACTATAATATGCTATATCTAAGTTTATATCCTTTTTCCAAGCTCACTATATGTAGTATAGGTAACTTTTTAGCTACTGCCATCAAAAAAGGAATCATGAAAATGAATTTGCATATGGGTGACGTTATAGCCCGAGCATCATTCTTTTTCTTTTTGTTTTTTTTTGACATATAATTACCTGTATCATCAATTCGTTGACACCAAGTTTAGATTTTACAAGATATTGTGTAGCAAATGATAAATATTTAGAAAAGAAGAAATGCATGGTATTCGTTAACAATAGTTATTCTTGAATCTTTGTCAATGATCTCTTCTCGTAGATCTGACCTTTAAGACTTACAAAGAGAGACATTTGCAGGATGACATTTATGTTGCTGGAATAATGGATAAACAGTGGTGGATTTGCTCGACTCCGAGATACCGAGTTTTTGTTGCCGACCATGAGGACTTCATATTCTTTAACTTAGTCCATTCCTTATTCCTTGTTAATGTACGCTACATAAAATGTTAACTCTTTGCTTATTGCTACTGAAATATTGCCTTCAATTTTCTTTTCCAATGTGCTCTCTTGATCTGTTCTAAAAGTTTGTGATGAAAATTATGATCTTCCATCAGCAGTATGCTCTGTGGACTGCATCAATTGGTTCTGAAAGGGAAGATTTAGTAAGCAGAAACTATGTTCTTCATTTCATGTGAGAATGGCACAAGCTTCCACAATTACATTTAGCTATGCCTTGCAGAAAATATTGAGAAAAATCCTTAGAAGCATCATGCCTTGTATAACTCAAGTGAAGTCTGCAGATTTTGTTGCAATTTCTTTGTTTACTCTTCTAATTATGTCATTTTGTTGGGTCTCTGACAAGTGGAAATGCAACTCCATGTAAAATTTATGGCTGGTTATTGTCAGCTATCATGCATCAACTGTTTGTCATGTAATCTGAATCTTGCTATTGTAACCAAACTGGTTCTTTAAAATTGCACCAAGCTCACACATAATTTCCATCAGTAAGCGGCAACAACAACATAAAGAGTTGCTTGGAAGATTCTAGTTTTCTTTATTACTGAGAGATCCATGTCTTCAGAAATCTGACATTACTGGATAATAAGCGATAAAAACAAACATTATTCCTTAATCATTCTACCTCACTAAATCTATGTAGAGATTTAGTACAGTTCTATCACCAGACCTACATCCACCATATATACACTTATAGTGGAAAAAAAAAATACACTTATAGTGGGAAGAAAAAACCAGCAGTCGCACTGTCGATGCCCAGAAGCAGAAGAATCTTGATCTCGGAAAATTTCAACATTGTTTTCTCTCGAAGATGGTCGATGGTTCTTTCAGCCAGGGTGGGCGCTATTGGAATTAATTGCTATTTACTCCAGCAAGAACACTAAATATAGCAGGAATCCATTCGGTTTAATCAGTCAAGAACTTTTTTGATATCTTCAACCAAATGTGCTCTGCTGGATGAATCCATCTGCATCAAATTTAAACAATCGAATTGTGCACTGAGATCATAGTAAAAAAGATTTGGATCGGAGATCATTTTGGCAAGGTCAGAGTTTTAGGACGGGACAAATAATTATTAAACAGCTTAACCGATGCAAAGTCTAGAAATAACTCGAGCAATTGATCCAACTTAGATTTGGGTATGAAAAGTTTTAACAGAACTTTCAGATGATTAGATTTCTTTTTGAAATTTGGAAATTTGAAGGTGAGTTTTGAAGAGAATAACCTCAAACACAAAATAAAAGATGAAAAGTGCCGTACCTTGCTAAGAACAGCAGAAAGGCATTGAGGCAAAACTTGCAAATCGGAAGGCGATTCACCGAGTTCCATGAGTTGTTTAAATACTTTTTGAAACCTCAACTCCTCAAGATACTTCTCATAGTTTCTAGAATCATCTCTCCAGGAAAAGAAAGCATCGTCGTCCTCCCACACAGCACTCACTGCTCCAGCTTGCTCAGAAGCCAAAAACCATTTCTTCAGCAATTCTATAGCTGATGTATTCGATAACTGCTCTCCAGCAGCATTTCTAACAGTTCTTACGAGTGATCCCTCTGAAACTCTCCTGTGTAGCCTTTTGTAGAAGAAAGAACGAGATTCCTCCCAATCCACAACTTTCTTGATCACCCCCTTGGCGGCCATCCTGAGGGAAGTGTCATGCAACTCGGCGAACTGTGTGGCTATTTGAGTGTAGACAGGTAACAGCTTCTTCTCCCGAGTCATTATGCTCTTTCGAAGTGCTTCTGCATCGCCAGAGACTATGCCAGCCTTGATATCCTGAAGCTTTGCTTTCAAACTGATAATCTCATGGTCAAGCCTACCCATGCATTCGATGAGGTCTTTTGTCCTGAATTTGATTTCAATCATTCCTTCAGGCTCAAGCACATTACCCTTGGCAGTCCGTTCAGCATACATCTCAATGTGCTCTGGATTAATCTTGCTGTCTACAACAACCCATGCACCCCCACGAAGCTCTCCGGTCATGGGAATGTACACAAACACAGGTTGTTTGTATGTCCTCAAGTTCTCAACAATCGTAGACCCTGCCTGGAGTATCCCTTCAAATAGGTCTCTCTGCCCACCAGAAAACCCTCTCCAGTTGGCAAGGATAAAAAGTGGAAGTTCTTCGCGATTAAAGTCTAAGAGTGCCTGGGCTGTTTTAGTTGCAGAGTCAGGGAACCAAACTTGTCCTGCTTGTGGGACGACACGTTCATGGGAATCAAGCTGACCAGGGTCTGCAGGGATAATTTGCATCACCGTCTGTGTCTCAACAGCTATGACCCCTACAGGAATTCCGCCAAGCTTTGCTCTTCCCGTGACCACAGTTTTCGCCCAACCTTCCAGCGTCTCTATAAAGCTGTCTTTGTCGAATATGCCTCCTAACCACTTGTCATTGTTTCCGTTACTTCCACAAATAGCAGCACGTGGATCACAAGAATTCTCAGGGAAATATTCGACAAGCCTCTCCGGTGGATCCAGGGATCTCAATATGGGAAGCGGGCCACCTATGTATGGAGGAACATAGCTAAGCCATCTCAAAATGGCTGAAATGCCCTCAAGATCATCTGATACGGTCAGATGAACAACCCCATTTGTTGCCATGATCTTTGGGCCACCCAGTTGCATGTGAGAACTGTATACTTCACGTCCGAGAAGTTTGTTCAAAGTAGAAAATCCAGTAAGAATTATAGGCTGATCAAGACGCTGAATGCACCTCATGCCAAGCCGAGCAAGATATGCTCCGATACCAACAGTTCGTCCAGTCACATAGGTAAGAGTGAATATCTCATTATATGCCTTTGAATAAGCACCAGCAATAGCACCACTTCCTGATAGGTTCTCAACTCCCAAGTCATCCGCTTTTCCCACTATCGTATCTATGACCCATCTGATCTCACCATTTTCCAGTTTCCGTTCATGAGCGATAACAGAGGAACCAATACGTTGATAGTCTTCTGGAGTCAGATAGATGTAGTGAAACCCGCGTTCTGGGCTCGACTCATCAGACCAACCAACCTTAAAGCAAGATTTCACTTCTTCAGCTGCTCCAATCCGAGCACCAGAATTTGCTGCCAGATAGATCAGAGGGAGCTTCTTATCACAAGCCAAATTAGTTACTGCATGGAAGAATGCATCTTCTCTTGGACCAAATGAACCAACTTTGAAGGTAACATCATTTGCCACAACTATAATCTTTCTCCCATCAGGGAATTCTGGAGTGGACATCTCCATCAACCAGGCTATCATGCCAATGTCATTGAGACCAGAGGACCGGCTAGCAGGGACTAGCGGAGTGCCCCAAGCTCCAAACTTCTCGGCAAACACCAGTTCTGTAAATTTGATGAGATCTTTATTGTCATTCATTCTAGCATCAACAGAGGCATAAGATGCCCATGACCGTCGAAGTGCAGTCTCAAATGCCTGTATGGATGTTAGATATCCTTAAAATTATATAGCAGAGAGCTAACTGTAACATATCTGATGATACAAAAAACTGCTCTATTTTGATATATAAAGGAATGGGAATTTTACCAGGGGGAAGTCGTAGCAGTATGTTGTGTTGTTTTTCCTAGCCACTAAACGTTTTTGATCGATGAACCCCAGTGGCGAATACTGAGCATTCAATGGGACACCATGGAGGGGACCATTCGCAGGGGTGATAGAATGGTAAACCATTTCATGTGAATTGATATTCTCCACTTCTCGATAGATCTAGAATAATATGAAATGATCTGTAAATTTTCAAATTGAACTGAAAATTTCTAAAAAAGAATTCAGCTGAAACTACTCAGTATATACAAACATTACGAAATTATATTAATTCCATAGGTTGCATGACTGAAATATATTAACTACAAACTATTTTTCATGATTTGCAACTATAGATTATATCTCCCTATCAAATGAGGTCTGTTAGCTTTGATATAGTATACTTACATGAACGGTGCAAGTATGACCAGTAACATTGGTCACCACAATTCTCCATGCAGCTAGTCCATCAGAATTCAGCCATAGCTTCACTTCCCACTCACAGACAGCCAGACGGTGCATACGAACACCAACCAATTCATGAATCTTGAGAGCCATTTCCTTTAATATTAGACAAATAGTGGTTTCATCTTGACAAGAATCTAGGGCCATTATCCTGGATAATTTAAAAAAATGTTTATCAGATGCTGCTAAAGATTACTTCTATGTCGGATCAAACTTCACTAAGAATCCAACAAGAAACAGAAAGATAAGATGGAAAAGTTATTGCAAAACTGCTCACAGTGAAAATAATAATAAAAAGGGAAATGGAGAATAACTATATGTAGAACTAACCTTGAAGGTGGTAAAAGATCATGAAGTTGTTGCTCCCGCAATATGCAAATATACATGTGAGAATGATCAGACCTGGTGGTTGTGTTGTGGACATGTAATTCCAACTCTTCTAAAGCTGCCATTAATGACCTCAGTATACTTATAGATGTAAAGGACAAAGAAGGTTGGGCACGGCTTATTTCTGTGTCAAGAACTTGACTTGATGCAAAGCCATTAATTGTGCTTGGTTGTCTGAGAAGTGTCCGGAGAAACATCCGCCGGATAACAGCCTTGCTATCTAAAGTAGTGTACAGATGCCACTGGCGATCCCTTGAAGAGGTATATTGTAAGTTTCTGTAGCCTTTCAGCTTTTCCTAAAATGTATGAACAACGAGCAAGTTAAGGTCAATAACAAAGTTGAAAAAAATCATAAACATCACTTGAGAATATAGTCATCACAAACCAATTCAAGAAATGTAGAGAGAGGAGGTTCCAGGTGACGAAGTAAAGGTTCTTCTTCATAATACATCTTTTCAGCTGACCAGTGGAAGGAGTGGCGCATCGGTACTCGTCCTTCATCCCTCTGTATGATGCAGCTAATGACCCTGACATCTGCATCTTGAAGATCAGAGCTTAAAGTATTCTCCTTCAAAATCTTCGCCAGTTTATTTATCCTCTCCTGGGCCTGGTCCTCATCGCCACTGCAAAATGTATAAGTAACATATCTGTCAACTGATAAGCTCAAGTTAATTACTATTTGGTATTTTGATCTTGCAGAGAAGCTAACCTATCCTGAAGAGTACTCATTTGGTTATTAATGCCAACTAAAGCAACATGAAGCATATTGCCTTTACCAGAACACCCAGGAAGCCCATTTGGGATTATTTCATGATCAATATCAGAATTCATGCATTGAGTGGTCTCTTTCAAAGCAGTGTTAATTGCTGCTGGCAGAAGCTGAAGAGATTTAATGATAACCATTGCCCCCCATCTCTTTTCACAGTGTTTCTCTACTGATGACAAACAATTTGATGGATCTTGAGACTTATTTTTCTTCTCAATGTGTTCTTGAGAAAATTCCCAGGAGGCTATCAGACCCGATCGGTGCCATTGCA